GGACTGTCGTGAGGTTTGAAAATTCTCTGGGCCCCGTCTAGAACTAGGGCAACACATTGATTTGAAGAAAGCTATAACCATCCCTTCTAATTTGAAGTGCACTTTCTCTGCAGTGAATCAGAATAGCAAGAGCCATCCTCATCCCAACCCCTCCTCTGTCAAGCTGGCCCCAATTCTTCCGAATGAAGGGATTTACAGAGACCTTTTCAATAAACTTCAAGGCACATCTAACTAAAAGGAGAAAGGTTCAAATAGCTGCTTCCAGATTTAGGAGAGAAATGACTTCAACTGCCAAGTCATGATGAATACTACCTTTTGCTTTCTGCCAGCTCCTCGTAGCAAATGATCTGTTGGGCAAGTTCAATTATGGGGTCTCTTTGAAAGGATTCATAATTAAAATTTTAAAAGGAACAAATTAGCTCTTTGTCTTTCTGAAGCAGAGGAGTCAGAACACCTCTATGAGCACTCAGGGATTTTGACTTCTAGGGATATGATGCCTTCCACAGCCAAGGAGTCTTACTTCAAAGAAAGGCTAGGAGACAAAGCCAGCCCTCTTGTGATTTGGGGAGATAATAATTTAGCAAGCTGTATAACATAATGGTTTATAAAATTCTTCCTTCAAGGACCATTATCTAGGGCTAATGGTGCTTTATTTCTTCCTTTCTTGTGCTTATTTAGAGCATAATTACAAGAGCAAGAGGAAGGGAGGGAGTTGAGCATCAAGATAATCATTCGCCAAATTAATGCAGCCAAGTAGAATTTCTGGCCTCTGGGGGCTCCTTTATCAATTAGCTCTATTGCTGTCTCAGTTCCTGTATTTCCCCATAGAATGAAGTTGGGGGTTTTTTTTCACTCATACACCAGGTCTGAGGAAAAATCATTTGAGATCAAAAGATTTTTTCAGAAAAAATCTCTTTCACCCTGCTTGATATCATGAGGTACTACAATACAGCCACATTCTCATCCATTTCTTAAGGACTAACAATTAGCTCTTCTCTCTGTCTCTCTATGTCTGTTTCTATCTCTATCTCTATTTCTGTCTCTATCTCTATCTCTCTTTCTCTAAAGTTCTGCTTTCCTTTCTTTTCTCTCTTTTAACTAGTTAAAATTGTTTTTTCCCAACTGTCTCATCTTTCTGCACCATGTTTTTAAAGTTACTATGTGGATTGTAATGTTAAAACCACTTCTGCAATGTCGTGCAGTCTCTGGATATTCAGGATTGGCTCTGCATAATGGAAATGCTGGCAGTGTTTTACACCTGTGCAGGTGACAGGAGCATTGTTTGTGTCCCCAGATACTAGTTGGTATCCCAGGGACTGTTGGACCCATCCATTTGAAAATGTGCCGCATCCTGGCTTACCTTTCTAAACTAATTAGCATTTTTGAGAGGAAAAGAAAAGTATCAGGAGCAAAGGATGGCTCAAAACTTGCCATAATCTTCATGTGGCCTTACAAATATAATCTGAACTAGCTTTTTAAAAATCTAACAATAAATCAAAATAGGTGTCCCTTTTCACACTCATGTTTCATTCTTCTTTGAATGCTAATTGCAAACTTTTCACCCTTTAAAAGTTGGTTTACCAAAACCCAAGAATTTACCTGCTCAAGCCAAGAAAATAAAATGTGAAGTCTCATAGAACTAAATATTTCATTTTATTGCTACCCCAAGAAGTAGATGTTTGGGGTGGAATTGTGTCCTTCAAAAAGATATATTGAATTCCAAATCCAGAATGTGACCTTCCTTGGAAACAGGGTTCTTCTAGAGATGATCAAGCTAAAATGAGGTCAGTAGGGTAGGCCCTAATCGAAGGTGATTGGTGTCCTTATTAAATGGGGGAATGTGGACACAGACACACAGTGGGGATGATGCCAAGTAAAGATGAAGCCGGAGATCTGGGTGATGCATCTCGAAGCCAGAAGTGCCAAAGATTATCTGAAAACCACCAGATGCTAGGGGAGACACATAAAACAGGTCCAGCCTCCCAGCCCTCAGAAGAAACCAACCCTGCCAACATCATCTTTGACTTTTAGCCTTCAGAAATGTTGCACAACACATCTGTGGTGTTCAAGCTACCCAGTTAGTGGTATTTTGTTACAGCAGTCCTGGAAAACTAACACAGTGTGTAACAGTGCATAATCTCTGGAAGCTGAGGACATTTGCAGGAGTGGGTAGAATGGCCACAGTTGGAAAACAGGAAGCCAAAAAGATCCAGAAGACCAGGGAGGTGCAGAGTTCAAAACCAAAAAGATGTTCTTAATAAAGTATTAATTCCAGCCCTAGCTGGTGTGGTTCAGTGGGTTGGGCATCATCCTGCAAACCAAAAGTTTGCCAGTTATTCCCAATCAAGGCACATGCCTAGATTTCTAGCCAAGTCCCCAGTAGGGGGCGTGCAACAGGCAACCACACATCGATATTTCTCTCCCTCTCTCCTTCCCTTCCCCTCTCTCTAAAAATAAATAAAATAAGTAAGCAAATAAATAAAAGTCTTAAAAAATTAATTCCAAAGAGCCAACCAAAGAAACAAAACCTTAGTTAAAGACAAAGACAGAACCAGAGTTTGCAAGGCATCCTCAAAGAATGACTTATTTGTATAAATTAGCCTCCCTCTCCCCTCTCACTTCTGTTCAGTCTCTGTCCCGCTACTTCCACTTTTTTTGAACCACAGCACTTACTGCTCCCTGAAATTATTTTTGCATTTATTTATCATGTGTTTTATTTTCTGCCTCCCTCTCCTAGAAAGTAAGCTCCCCATCTGCCTTACCATTACTAAGTAGAACAGTGCCTGGCATCTAACAGGTGTTTGGTACATCTTTGATGAACGAATGAAATAGACTTGAAAAGCCAAGGAATATCTGAACCTGGAGATACTGTTCTTTGAGGCACCAGAGAGTGCAAGCGGGCCATTCGCTGGGGCCCTGTAGCCTAGCCCACGAAAGTAGGGAACATGGAACATTTGCCAAGCCAACTAAGTGGTAATTGAGGCATAGAGAATCAGTGTTGATTTATGCCTAACTGAACCCTACTGGGAAAAGGCAAGAACTTGGCACCCCAAACTAAGCACAGGCCGCCCAAAAGACAGACACTGCCCACCTGATTTGAGGACTTACCTTTGGCCATACAAGAGGACTTTAGCAAATTTAGGGACTTTTAAAAAAATAAATTACTCAGAATAACAGACTATCCACCATGTATTTTCTAGGAGGAACATGTGCTTCTTAAATTGAAAATTCTGCCCCATTAACTTCCTGAAAGCTGCAGGTGGACAGTTACAGGAGAGTTCTGTGAATGTGGCAATCTGTAATACAGTAAGGCCCCTGAGGGAAAAGTCTTCCAAGTGTTCTAACAAATGTTTCTATTTAGAGGGATTTGTGTTTAATGGATGGTGAGTTAATGTGTCATCAGTGTCTGTTGTTGTGGAAGGGCTGCTAAAAGGAATGACAAACGTATGTGCAACTTGCTATTGTACTGATACATTCACATGTCGCGTAAACAATACTTTAAATCTTGTAAAACTGAAAGAACCTCCAGAGAATTGTGCTTTGTGACACTCTGCCCCTTCCCCAGAACTTTTTCACTTGACTTGTGCTTTGCAGTGGACCTTTGGCTTTTATTTTTCCGGAAAGAAAATAGAATTCTCTCGCAGGAAAATCTATATAGTGTAGTCACTAATGTTAGGCAAACAAACCAAAATATGGACACCAGCCCTATGTATTTAGATGAATCGATTGATATCTGTGCTCTGGATCCCAAATCATGACCTGAGAGCTGACATAATCCCCTTTCCCCCATCAGATCCTGCTCTTTGCCCCAGAAATGCAAATGATTGGCAATGGTCATCAATACCTATAATGTGTTTGGAGATTAAGCAGGTGCCATTTTTGCCCTTATTTTATGCTTAAGGCTACTGAGGCACAGAAAACCATATAGCAAGTTAGGATCACTCAAGGAGTAAAACACAGACATCTGGTCCATTACCAACTACTTCATCCAGCATATGTGAAATTACTCTTTCGAGTTAAATGCACCATGCTATTCTCTTGTCTTTCTACTTATATTACTAGTTCTGGTCAAGAGGCTTGTATTTGTATTTGTTTGGTCACCTGAAAATGTTTTGTTGCAAGCAGAAGGGACATTTTTAGCATCCTTGTATCATTATCATTGACTGCTCATCAGCTTTTAGTCTGGTTCCTTGTCGCATTTCAAATCCTCTGTTTGTAAGGGTGATTACTTGCATTTACTAGTGACCGAGATACTCTGTGTCTGCTTGTGTGCTCATGTTTGAAGAAAACCATCAATAGAAAGAGTGATTTATTCAGTGTGTGTGTGTGTGTGTGTGTGTGTGTGTGTGTGTGTGTGTGTTTCAGGAGCTCAGAGACAGGGGCTGCAGAGTGTGTCCGAACCTCTTCTGCGGTTGCAGCTCTCTCCACCCCCAGCATCTTTCAGCTTTAAAGTGTTCTTTATCAATCATTATTTTTTCATGATTAAGAATCCCCACAGACTTGCTATAGTGTGGTATGTGGCAAACCAAAATGAACTAGAAAAAAATCCAAGCAGTGAACACACAGCTAAGAAAATGAACATATGGATCCCTGGGAGACTGGCAGCCGGAGATGCTCCCTGCCACCCTGGGCGTTCCCATCCAAGATTTTGCCTATTGTCCTTACAAGCCTTGGGAAGCTCGACAGGACCACAATCCACTCACTTGCTAACTGTGTGAGCTTGAGCAAGCTACTTCATGTTCCTGAGTCTCAATTCCATCATCTGTGAAATGGAGAAACCTCCCGTAACACTTTAGTGAATGAAGCTCTATAAAACACAACACAGAACACATCGCAGTGCCTGGTGCACTACCACATTTACAGTGATGCCCACAGTCACAGCGGTGTGACGTATGTTAGCCATTTAGGGGAAAATGCTTATTCTTCAATAGAAAGTCTTTATAAGTACATGAACTTGTTCATGATCTCACCTACCTCTCTTCTATTTCTCCCTTCTTTAGCTCTTTCTGAATCTCCTGGTACCTGTGTTTATGGAGTCCCTTCCCCCAGAAAATCACACAAAAAGGTATGAGATAAAACAAACTGTCACTTACCCTTCTGAGGCATAGAACTATGGAAGAAAGAAATTCTTAATATGGAAGAATAAATTGCTATGGAAATCATTGGATAGGATTTGGGGAAGGTAAAACCCTCCCTTCCCTGCTTCAGATTTGAAAGATAGGTAACCAGCTACTCAGCTCAAGGCAGTTTCTGAGAGCCACTCACCCTCTGACGCCTGCTTATCTCGATAGCCCCAAGCCCCACCACTCCCACCCTGCTCCACATGACCTGTCCTCTTCAGTCCACTGTTGGCAGTCCTGGCACACACCTGCTCTCTCATTTTATGCCTTTGAATATTCTGTTCCCTTTACCTAGAATGCCCAACTCTCATCCAGATAACTCCTAGCTGTCTGTGAAGATTCAGCCCCGATGACTGTTCTGAATTCTCCATGGCATCCCCCCCCCACCCCAGGGCTAACACATCCTTTGACTCCAGGGCAGGATGGAGGAGGGGATTCCCACTGCAGTCTGTGAGAACGGTGCCCTCTGGAGATGTGCTCTGCACGTCTGCAGGATGCACCTGGTTCCCTCACATCCTGTCCACCAACCCACCTCTCCTGTGGACTCCAACATCCTTGTGAAGGAAATTTTTATCCTATTTTTAAACCATTTATTTGAATTCTTTCCTCAAGACTATGAACTCCTTGATGAGGAGCATGGGTTCTATTTCTGTTCTTCCAATATTTGTCACATACCATTAATTCTCCATTAATAGCCTGGTTAGTGGTTCCAGTAGCAAACTTGACAAGAGTCTCTTCCACATGAGACAGACTCCTTGGGTCTGTGAATAGCTTAGTAATAAGTGGCTGACAATTTAATAGGAAAGTATGAAAGGCAACACAGGCTAACTGATAATAAAGATGGGCCACGAGGAATCAGCTGAGTAGAATAATTGTGGAGAAAGTTTTCTTTCTAGTATCCTTTAGACACTCACTCACATCCCTTCAGAATTCAAATGGAAGTGATATCTGTAAATCCCAAGGTGAGAAGCCTGGAGTCCTGATGCTTGAAGCCGTTCTAATATTCATTTAGTTAGAATTGTAACCCCACCGAGTTCCTGCCGGCCTCACACAGACCATCTATTCACAGTCAGCTCTTGGCTTAAGCAAGTGTATGTGTATTATCTCTGCCGTTGCCCATAACGTCTTTTCATTTCATTATGACTATTGTGCTTGGAAGCATGATTTTCAGTCTGTAATCCCAGTTGCATTTTTTCAACACAATCTGTACATTTAAGTGCACAGTTTTCTTTGAAGCAGACTTTGTTGAAATCGGTATTCATTATCTGCTATCGCTGTCTTCCAGGACTACCCATTTTGCTGTAGCTAGGAAGGAAGGAACAATTTTTCACATGAATGAACTTTGTAACTTGGCACATTTTTTTTAACTGGCATGATGGCAGCTATTTCTAGAAATAATTTGAGTCCCAAAGGAAAATTTTTTAATTCAAACATCAATTAAAGTGATGTGTCACAACTTCATTGAATATGTGGCCCCCAAGTTCAGCTGTCTCTCTCACATATTCCTGATGTGTTTACAGCAGTGTATCTAAGTGAAAAGAATTTAACAAGGGCAGTATAATGTCATCAAAGGAAGAGAAGGGTGAATTGTTGAAGACCACAAAAAGTGGTACAATTTAGACCAACTCCAAAATGAATGCTGCCAGCTGTCTGAAAAGACGCTTGTGTGATCACTTCCTGCATGAGAGGTATTCTCCATGTGACGCCTCAGAGAGCCAAAGTAAAGAAGAAGTGAGGAAGAGTTGGGAATTGCTTCTAAGTCTGAACCAAAGAAGACACTTTTAGCAGAGATTTTCCAATGGCGATCGCCACATTTTCAGATACAGGGCTAGAGAAAGCAAAGAGATGTTGAGAACTGACTGCTTCATTGGAGTCAAGCAAACAAAAACTCAGAGTTGGAAAAACGGAAGAGAGGTATGAGGCCATGTGTGAGCCTTCCCTGCCTGAAAGAAGACATTAGTGTCAAGAAGTGTTTAACCACAAAGATGGCCTCTTGTGAATAGCATGAAACTAGTTTTGGTTTCTAATGTTCAGTTGACTTCATATTCAGCTAAAGCTTATAATTTGTGTACTTGTTATGGGGTATGATTATCTATAAATCTATTCTATCTAGGGAAGAAAACGGAGGATGGTTGTGTCAGGAAGTTTTCAGTACTGATGGAAATGAATAACTATGTTTAGTTTCATCATAGTGGGCAATTCTTATACCCTTATTATGATTATTTGAGAATATGAATGACTACATAAATCTGAACAACTTTACTTTATTGATTTTGCAGAGTTAAGAGGAAGATCTATGAAGCATGGAACCTTCCATCAGATTTGGAAGAAAGTAGAATGGATGCAGAGATACCAGACTGCCTCTAAGACCCATGGACAATCCCACACTCACACGTCTCTGTCGAACTTTAAGATTAATTATTAATATGCTACCTTTGCAAGATGAAAAGAAACTAATGCTGAAAAGGCGTGTTCTTCAGTGTTGGGAATAGACGTGCTCTCAGGACCATGGCTTCAAAAGTCTCCTGTTTATACGTTTTGACAGTTGTGTGCTGGGCCAGCGCTCTCTGGTACTTGAGTGTAACTCGTCCTACTTCTTCCTACACTGGCTCCAAGCCATTCAGCCACCTCACAGCTGCCAGGAAAAACTTCACATTTGGCAACATAAGAACTCGACCTATAAACCCACATTCTTTTGAATTTCTTATAAATGAGCCCAACAAATGTGAGAAAAACATTCCTTTCCTTGTTATCCTCATCAGCACCACCCACAAAGAATTCGATGCCCGCCAGGCAATCCGAGAGACGTGGGGGGATGAGAACAACTTCAAAGGGATCAAGATAGCCACCCTGTTCCTCCTGGGAAAAAACGCTGATCCAGTTCTGAATCAGATGGTGGAGCAAGAGAGCCAAATCTTCCATGACATTATCGTGGAGGACTTCATTGACTCGTACCATAATCTCACCCTCAAAACATTAATGGGCATGAGATGGGTGGCCACTTTTTGTTCAAAAGCCAAGTATGTCATGAAAACAGACAGTGACATTTTTGTAAACATGGACAACCTTATTTATAAATTACTGAAACCCTCCACCAAGCCAAGAAGAAGGTATTTTACTGGCTATGTCATCAATGGAGGGCCAATCCGGGACGTCCGCAGTAAATGGTATATGCCCAGGGATTTGTACCCTGACAGTAACTACCCACCATTCTGCTCGGGGACCGGCTATATCTTCTCAGCCGATGTAGCAGAACTCATTTACAAGACCTCACTGCACACAAGGCTGCTTCACCTTGAGGATGTCTACGTAGGACTGTGTCTCCGAAAGCTGGGCATACATCCTTTTCAGAACAGTGGCTTCAATCACTGGAAAATGGCCTATAGCTTGTGTAGGTACCGCCGAGTTATCACTGTGCATCAGATCTCTCCAGAAGAAATGCACAGAATCTGGAATGACATGTCGAGCAAGAAACATCTCAGATGTTAGGATTTTTACCAATGTAAATACATTTCTTTTCTTTTTTAAAAAATGGGGCTTAAGGTGTTGGTATTTTACAAGTGTCACCAGAAGTGAACTGGTGAAGGGGTTTTGTAAAAAGCTTTTTCTTCCCGGTCCTAGTTCCTTTCTTGGATTATCAACTTACAAATGTCAGGCTCTGATCATAGAAACAACGCGTAAGTTAGAAGCACCAGATTTTATTCTCAGGTCCTAAGGCCTTGCATTTATCTCAAAAAGCAACTTCCTAACAACTGCTAGGACTTACATACTGTGCACCTGAGAAAAAAATCTGGTTCTGGGAAATGAAACTCACAGTAATGTCTTCATAGCATCTCTCTGCAGAAGCAAACAAAGTTCCTTTTCAAAAACAATTCAGAAAGAATGCACAGTCAGGAAGACACACTGGATGTGAGTACTAATATCAGTGTGCTACTATGTGAATTTTCACACATATTCCCACACAGTGTGCACAGTATTAGTGGTTCTAACAAGAAATGAACTTAGTACTGGCAGGGAGGCTGCAGTTAAATAAATGGAAATTTAACTTGAGAATCAAATACTTTGTATGTTTGGAAGAAAATCTGCTTGCTCATTCAACAAACATTACCTGGTGCCTCCAAGTAGACTTTGCCAAATGTAATCTTACTGCTACACTCCGTACCATGTCGCTAAGTGCATTTTAAAGTCTCTGTCTCAGGCAGGCACATGTGTAGAACTAAGTTGGTAGGAGGCCAGAAGAATAATAAATCACATGGAAAAAATATAAATTTAAATATGCATAATAATTAATATAAGCTTAGCAATAGTATAAGATGCCCCCTCCCACACATTTACAAAGTGTGTACAAAAATCTTTTAGCAGATACCAATGTTATTGAATGACTTATCCCGACAGTCAATAGCTGTAATACTCTCTGATATCCAAAACATCCAAGTACCTCTAGCAGCCATGCTGGTAGGAGGTGTTCCAAGGCTCCAGAATTGAGGTTCATGGAAAAGAAGAGGGGGAAGCTTGGCTTCAGGCTCTATTGATGCCATCCTACTCGATGGGTCTTGTGAGCAGGCATCTTTACCTTACTGTGCTTCAAATATGCTCATTTACAAAATGGTGGAAAAAACACCTACCTCACAGGTGCTGTGAGAGCAAATCACATTTGCTAAGTATTTTGAGATCCTTGGTTTAAAAGGTGCTACGTAATGCAATGTATCATGCATTATGCTAAATGCTAAAATAGTTACATAAGTATAATGATGGTCAGAAATAGTAGTGACATCATTTTAGTATAAAATCTGCCAAAATAAAGATCAAATATGAACTATTAGTGAACCTGATTCTTCTAAGACTTTTCCTTGGAAATGTTAGGGGTTTGGGGAAGCTTCAGTTTCTTTGTCATTTCTTCTGGTTTCGGTGAATAAGTTATTATTCTGGTGCATTGCCTTGATATCCTAGGGCAATGAAAGCGAAGGCAGCTGGCTTTCCTTGAGGAGGAGCTTCTGGCCAGGGGTGTATTAGGGCAATTGAAGCACCTGCTTTGCAAAAGGTATCACATCAACTTAGACCATAGAAAACAGTTGATCTGAATTCTCAGTCAGAACTTTGAGGATGGGTAGATCTAGTCCACTTCTATCAAAAGAATAGACTCTCAGCACTCCCACACATTCCACATCTACCATTCCTTAGAAACTGTTTTCATTCAAAAAAAAAAAAGGCCCACAACTGAAAGAGTATACCTTTTGTTTTAATATAATCCTTGGAAGCCCCCCTAGAAGTTTATAGCAAAGGGGTAGAAAAAATTGAGTAAATGGAAGTTATGGCCTATTTCCCGAAAACACTGGATCTCTTCTTGCCAGTGCAAAAGAACCCAATGTTAGACAGGCCTCTCGGTCCTTTAGTACATCTTCATCTTACAGTTAGCAGTACTGCTGAGTTTGATTAGAGACAGCATCAGGTAGCCTGGGGAGAGATGGATTAGCACAGGTGAGCCGCCCTCCAGCCCCAACCTTTGACTGCTGTGAGTTCTGATCACTGCAGAAGTCTCATGACTTTGTACTTGGTTGGCCTTTCAGTCACGGGGCTGAGTTAAGCCTCTGTCTCATACTGCCGTCTTGCATTGACCTTATACTCACCACTGGTGTCAAGGAATTATGTATTATAAACATCATACATGTACATCTGTGAATTTTGGGGTGTGTGTGTATGTGTGTACATTATGAATAGAGAGCCCTAATCTTTAAAAGGAGCTTAAATCAGAGAACCATGTCTTAAAGAAGTATTTCCTAACTTTTTTATGCTAAGTAGTGCCCATGTGACAAACATGTAAATATTCATCCAAGGTCATATGTATATATTTTAAAGGCATTTTTTTCTTCTCCCCAACTTTACATATAGCTAGACTGTGCTTGCTGGGTACATGTTCTTCTGCATGGGGCTTGGGGAAGCAAGGCCATTTGCCCGGTTCCAATAGCCTAAAGCATGTTTGTCCTTTGTTTTTTGGATGTTCAAAAAAAAATGTTTAAGTCAAGTGATCAGAAAAAGCTCTAATTTTCTACTATTGTTAATTTTATGACACTGGCCAAATTATGGTTTTGATTATTTGTGATGCCATTTTTTAAAAGTTACTATTTCTCTGATGTAAAATAATATTTCAGACAGTATTGTACTAGAAGCCATTCAGGCGGTTTTTACAAAAACCTTCTGACTACCCTTACATGTTTTGTTCATTTTGCGTTGGATAACAAAAGATACTAATAATTAGTGTCTGTACATTTTCTTTCTTAAATTTATTTTGGAAAAAATGTTTAATCTTTTTTGGCTAGTTTCTGTGGCTTTGTGTCTTTTATATTGGCTCAAATGTCAGTTTCAATATATAATATTGTATTTTTAAATAATGGGAATCAAACTGGAGATCATTTTTGATTTGAATTAAATTCAGAAGAACAAAACCCCTTTGTGTGATATGACATGGTGAAAATAAACTCTTTACAGAGAAGCTAAGGAAGGAGTTTTTCAATCAAATCTCTTCTATCAAAAGACAGTGGAATATTTACATAAAGCATCTGGGATTCATTTTCTACCTTTCTTAACACGTGAGTTTAGTGGGGCAATTGATGATGCCATTTCTTCTGAAAAGGTGAAGATAGTTTTTATAAGCAACAAAAGTAACTTGTGATGAAAGAAGTAATTTACTAGAAATATTTGTTGATGATAATTGACGTTTAGGTATATCGTTATATATGAATGATTGTATTTATGTATTTATTTGTCAAAATTGTACATACTATTTCGCCAAATGTAATTGTCTGTAAAAGTGCACTCTCCAGGTTTGTAGTGCTGTTTAGGGTTACATGGGTTGCCAATCAAGCTGCTAATCAGAATACTATTTTTTGTATCAATGTTATAAAACTGAAAATGACAAATAGATGCTGAAAATGTCTTTACATTCAGTTTCTTCACCTTCCTCTTGAAATGTAAACTGTTGATTGAAAGCACGATGCTAATGTATAAGCCCATCTGTCATGAGGAAGATTATGGATCCATAAAGCTGATTTTTTAAACCATTGGGACAAATAAACAGAAGGAGAACATATTTTCCACTTTGCTTCTTTTCAGAAAGAATTTTTTTTTGGTGAGATGTGATCATTACAATTAGCCGATGCCTTGGCATCAAAGAGCTTCTCCACAGCCTCAACAGAGGTAATAGTTCAAAACATTCAGAGCTCTTCATGAGAGCCCAGGGCAGCTTGACAGTCATCTTGGAGGCGATTAGTCCATGGGACATGCCCGGCTTTAGGAAACTGGTATTTTCCTGCCCCTTTCCTCAGTACTCTCAGGAAAGTCTTTGTGTTAAAGTCTATGGATTGAACATGCCAATAAATTTTATCCAGAGAGCATTATATTGTTAATGTGCTTGGTGAGTTAGTACATGTTGAATCTAAAGCAAAACTGTTATTCCTACCTTTCACCCACATATGTCCTTTAGAATACTGCATACTGTTTTAAAACTTTGATCAGACTGGAAAAATGCAATTCAGGCATTTGTTATAGCAGATAAATGGATGCTGATTGCTGATGCCTGACTTTGTAAGCAAAAGACTAATAGCTATTTAAGACGGAAAAGTTCCTTTTTCTATCAATCCCAATCTAGCTAAATAGCTCTTCTTTACTTTTTAATGGGAATTTGACTTCGGATTTACTACTCCTGTACCTCAGAGTTCAAAAGGTAAATGAAAACATAAAATAGACAGATTCGTATTCAATGCGACTTTTTAGAAGGACCGACACCGATATAGAGCGGTGTTCTATACGTGTTGTCTCAGACTAGAAGCATCAGCATCAAGTGAGAACTGGGTAAAATGCCCTACCAGAAAGATTGGGGTGGGGCTCAACAGTCTGCTTTAACGAGCCCTATGGGTGATTCTGATGCACATGAAAGTTGAGAATACTGAGCAAGAGAAGGGATCAGCAAATCACACTTTGAACCACTTCTAGCCTGCCGCCCAGGAGCCAAGAATGGTTTCATGATTAATATTTGCAATTTCATGATAGAGGACACTAACATCAAACCCCAACTAAGCAAAATATTATGCCAGCAGTAAGAAGTTTGCCTTTCTCATTAGTAGACGTGTATTGCAAAAAAAATGTACTCAGTTATCATTTTATTTTATTTTTAATTCCACCAATGCAGAAACTGGAAATTTGTTGTGTAAGTATTTCCATATATCTTCAACTTTGATTTTTGAAGCTTAAAATATTTGTTATCTAGTCCTTTACAGGAAGAGTTTGTCAACCTCTTACTTCAAGGAACAGGGAAACATCTGAGAAAGGGGCTACATACCAGATTCCCCCAACTGTGTATGAGGAGTCACAGCAATAAGTGTGCTGGGGCTGTCTCCATGCATCCAGGGAAATAACAACATAGTCGTGATAATGAATCACAGTAAAAACCAACAGCTGCATATATATTTCAAATATTTCCTTTTTCTCTCTGAGTGATTTTTAAAAATTATAAAAGCTTGATTCTAATTGTAACAATTACCCAAAGCTTAATTAATATGTTGCTTAATCCATGTGAGAATGTGTGGGTATCAGACCTAAGAGGGTGGGTTTCATATAGCTTGATTATCATAATTACAAGCATTCTATTTTCTCATTTACTTAATTGATTGTCATAGCTTTCCAGATGAATCCACACTGCTGGAAGAAAATTGAATACATTTCTGAGAGAGAAGGACAAAAAAACCCCAAATGGGGCTATTTAGAACAATGTCCCAGAATATAATCCATGTGAGAATGAAAAATCGCCCTTGATAATATCTCCTTACCTCTTTGCTGGTTAAAGTAGGCATTTTTCTGAAATGAAAAAGAAATGAATGAAAAAGTATTATTGATTCAACTACATCTATAATAATACCAGCTCTGCTATCTCTTCAGCCAGAGGTGCCTAGCACTCAAGAAAAATTTTCCATTTAGTTTTCCTTATAGAATCTATTAGTTTGGTACATTATGTCAACTATTTGTTATGCCTCCTGCAATGACCTCAGTCCTCACCTGGAGGGAGCATGGCATGAGAGGTGATTTATTCTCGCTCTAAGGTTTATTCCAGAGCTTTTACTCAGCAGTGGCTGCCTGACATGGCAGGTTGGGCAGAGTTACGTGTTGGGGGTTCGTGATGAAGGCTATTTTTCAGCAGAGACAAGGATGACCTCACCAAGAGTGAGATGAGGGGAAAGAAAAGATCAGAGACTGTCTCCCCTTACAAGGACTTAAATTTCCAGTGCCTGTGCCTCTGTTTCGTCATTGTTGGTAAATCCTAACAATAGCTCCATTAAGTAGATGCCGCTGTTAACTCAATTGACAGATCAGGAAACTAAGGCAAAGGAGAATTCTGTAACTTACAAGGTGAACTCAGCCCAGCCCCCACCAGCTCAAGACTATATTCTTAACTAAAACAGCATGGGCCTCTACAAAGTAAGGACATACATCCCCTCTCCATGAGCACTCCCATCCCTATGGAACTCAGTGTTGTTATTTTCATTCCTTTCCAGATTGGAACTTCCAGCCCCTCATCTGTCTTATTGAGTTACAATTTACAGACTTAAAAATTCACCCTTTTTAAGTGTACAGTTCTATGAGTTTTGACAAATGCGTACGTTTGGATAACGACCACCATAATCAAGATATAGAACTGTGCTATCACCTCCCCCAGATTCTCTCATGCCCCTTTGTAATCAGCCCCTAACTTTCAGCTTCTAGCATTCACTGATCTCTTTTCAAACTCCTGTTTTACATGAGATTTATATTTTATTCAATAGTCATCATATACAATGTTTAATGTTTAGAAAAATGTTCTTCAGATGACCCATATGACAATTTAGTAAAAGAAAAGGAAAAACCTGAAAAGGAAAAAAATTTTCAAAACAGAAAAAAAATCTTAAGAAAATAGTTAAACAACATAAAAGTACAAGTAACTAATTTAGAAGTTTTAAAATAATCCACCATTGATTTGATAATATTCAAATCTAATGAAAACGTATAAGAAGGTACAAGTCAAAAGTCTATAACCCTAATGCACTGAGAGTCCAGCCCAGCTCACTAGGAACTTACAGCTTCTGGCCTTCAGAGCTCACACACACATTTCTGTAGAGCAGAAAGAACAATCTATAAATTCAATTATACTTTTTTCCCTCTTGGAAGCAAAGGATTCTCTGGAGAGGCATCCATCACCCACCAGCTCATTAAAAAGGCAAGCCGCTCTGCACTAGGGGATTTGTCTCCACACCTGTCTCACACTGCACTCAGAGGAGCTCCGCTTTGGTGATCTGCCTGTGCATCCTTCCTACATACGGGTTTCTTCAACCTACGCTAGTTCACATTTCATTTAGGAAATGATAAATTCACACCTACAAGCTTCTCTTCAAACTTTATTGGCAGTAGTATCTGAATTAACTAGGGAAGCATGCCATTTGTAACAATATGCCTCTTGGTCCTAGGGAGACAATCAAGCTGCAGACCATGTGGCTGTGAGAGCAGAAGGGACAGTGTGCGGAGCACGTATTCTCCACAGCAGTGTTTCTCAGATTGTAATGTGCCTTGTAGTTACCTGGGGATTTGTGAAAGTGCAGATTGGTAGTTCAGTACAACCCAAGGTTCTGATTTTCTTACAAGCTCTCAGATAATACTGATGCTACTAGTACAGGGACTGACCTTAGTAGCAAGACTCTAGTAGTCCAGTAGTCCAGGCTAGATTCTAGGCAGAGCTATTAACATTTATTAAGCACCTATTAGAAACCATACCAGAGGCTTTTGTGTACATCATTTCTTTAAATCTTCACAGAAACTTGTTAGAAGGTATTAAAAACTAAGGTGAAGTTTAAGTCTCTAGTATAGACTTGGGTCAGAAACTCACTTTTTTTATGTCTTGTATACAGATTCCTCTAAGACTTTATGGGAAAAGGTTAAGGTCCTAAAGGAAGCAATAGCCCCAAAAAACAAAAACAGTTAGAAACCCAGTACTACAAGATTCTATTTAAAATGAAATTAGAACTCAAAACTTAGACACAGGTCAAAGGCAGCTTCATTTTTCCACCAACCACCAAACTCTTACCAAGCCTAAGGGTGGGAATACCATGCAACACAGAGAGAGGGGTGGATGGCCAGACTTCAGGGCTCCTGGCACAAGACCAAGAAGCAGCAGGAGCAGGAGGAAAATAGCAGAGAGAGAAACACACACATATGTCATTGGTTAACAAATAGTGACCCCCCACAGGTATAAATATAGCCTAACCATGGTCATAAAATGACCATTCAGATTAGTAATCTGCCCTCTTGAAGAGGAAGAATGATTAGGATGGGAGAAAGGAAGCTTTTTGGGATGAAATCAGAAACTAGGCACTGCCTCCCAAATAAGGGTCCCAGTATTACTGGTACAATTTTGGGGTTGAAGAATCCAGCAGAGAAATTAAGTGACTTCTCCAGAGTAGAAAATTGATAACTGGAAAGATAGTATTTTCACCCCAGGTTTTTGACCTGGGCCCAAATGCTTTCTTTCATTAAATCATACTGCTCTCAATTCCATTCAGAATATTGGAAACAAGGTACAGGCATACCTAGAAGCTTTTTTTTTTCAAATGATAACCTGATCCTAAGAGTTTTATGAAAATGAAAAGACCTCAGAATGGCCAAGACAGTTTTGGAAAAGAAAAGGAAGGGATGGAAAGAGAGGAAAAGGAAAGGAAAGGACCTGGACGACTTACATCATCCAATTTTAAAACTCAACACAAAGTGAATCACAATAGTGTGGTTTAATGTAAGAATGGAAATATAGATCAATGGAATGAAACTGAGGGTTCAGAAATAAATTCTTAATATTTATGGTCCACTGATGTTCAATAAAAGTGCCAATGCAATTCAATAAGAATAGTCCTTTTAACAAACGGTCTGCCACAGTTGGATATTCTCTCGCAAAAAGATTTTAGGCAGTTACTTCATACTATACACAAAAACTAATTCAAAATGGATTGTAGACATAATTATAAGAGCTAAAATCTGGTCTGAAAATATAGAACTAAGAATTA